CCTTAGTGTTTGTTGAAATGGGTGATGAGATTGAGAAGAATCTGGAAGCCAGACTAAACAATGTTATCGAAGAAGCAACCTCAACCAAACTCCCTCTACCAGCAAAAATAGTTGGCCTCGACCTCTTTACCAAGTTTCAGAAATTGAAGGAATTGCTCCAACCCACCACCACCACCACAGCAACACCACCTTCAACAGCCGTCAAACTCAGCCAAGAAAAGTTCTACAACCTCAACAATCTCTTAACCGAGTGGCACGTGCAATCAAAGAATGTAATTTCCACTTTCAAGTTTGCTTCCAACTTAGATCGAATCAACCTTCAAGACAAAGACAATGGCGTGGCTTTGAATCGGGTACAACAAAAGGAAATTCAAGGGTCTGTTGATGGAAACACCAATATGGGTTCATCAAATGATAAAATTTCTCAACAATCGACCCATGAATCGATCTCATTGGATTCCAAAATAGAGGCTTTTCGGTGGAGTGATCGATCTGTTGATGAAACCAAAGTTTATGGACTTGATGATAAAGTCAAGTCTTTGCAAACAATGATGATTATGGGTTCACTGTTATTGGTAAGAAAGAGGGAATGAGGCGAAAAGTTGTTGATGGAGGTTAGGGAAACAAGACGGTGGGAGGCTAGGTGTTGGAGAGAAAATGAGAGAGAGAGAGAGAGAGAGAGAGAGATTGGTTAGACTGAAAGGGGAAAATAATGTGGGTGACTATCATGGCTGGACTAGAAAAGGGAAACAGGTGGTGTCAGGCTTGGGATAGAAGAAGGTGTTGTTTGGTGGAGGATGGTGGTGGTGGTAGTGTTTAGCAGTGACGGTGGTGGAGTGAGATTGATGATTGGTGGTAGAGGAGGGGGGGGAAATAAAGGGTGTTGCAGAGATGGAATAGGGAAGGGTTAGGATTGAAATGTCTGTTTTGCCTCTCAAAGTTGATTATATGTTGTGCACATGACTATTTTCTGTTAATTTTTAACAGAGGTTATTAATTGGATCAAAATGAAATGAAATTAGAAATAAAATGTTAAAATCGAGCAAATTGAAAACATAAAGAATAAAGTCACACAAGAAGTAAAGTACCTGAACTATTAGTGTAATTTGCTCAAAATTATATTATTGTCCAGGAGCAAGTTCATGTGGTGTTATAGAAAGTTTATTATTGGTTGAAATAATAAAACTTAGTATTTTTGTATTGACTTTTGTAAGACAAGTCAGCAAATGACACATATATATATGGCTTGGAGAACTACATCAAAACCACCAAATAACACACTTATTTTACTGACTCTTCTGGTCTAGTCATGCTCTAGAATGACTTGCAAATCGAAACATTCACTCTGTTTGGTTTAGTTTTTAAAAGTTATTTTAAATTTTTTTATTTTTTGTGTTTTTTTATCTTTAGTAAAATTTTTTTTTTCATATTTTCATCATTTTTTTAAAAAACTTTTTAGATATATTCAATCTAAAGATTTAGTTAAAAAGTAAAATATTTCTGAAAAATCTATAAAAAAAAAAAATGTATTATTTATTGTATTTTCTGTAGTTAATAATTTTTTTAAAAAAATTCTTCACAAATGTGTTACTTCTTCTTAAGTGTATCTAAATTAAGTAAATATAAAAAGTTATTTTTTTTTTAAAAAAAAAGAGTAAAATATATAAAGAAAAAATTATTCAAGATAAAAAAATATGAAAGAAAAAATATTGAAAACAGGGTTTTTTTAAAACTAATTGAGAGTAGGGGTGGGCGCGAGTCAGTTGCGGCCACGGAATCTCCAATCCGTCATCCGTCTGCCAGATTGGCGGATTGGAGAAAATCAATCCGCATCCATCCGCTAATCCGGCAGATGTGGATTGAGCGGTTTGGCAGATGGATGCGAATCGGTTTGGCGGTTTAAAATTTTATAAATTTTCAACATAATTTAACTTGTACACTTCCTTGAAACTTTAGAATATCACAATCACTGCATGCCTCATCCACATATTACAATCACAGCATGATTCATCCACATAAAGTATTACAATCTGTGATTTTTAAAATATAATAACAATTCAAACCATGAACAGAGTAGTAGTTGAGATTGTATATCTCTATATTGTTACATCTATATATGTTTTTGAAAACAAAAGCCAACCAGCATATATCACATTTTCTATTTATTATTTTTAGAGTTAAATTTAAAAACCAAAAAATATAGATAAATAATATGTTTATTTTTTTCAATTCAAAAAATATATTCAAGTTGAAAACTTTTTTTCAACAGAATATTTAAACTTTTTTTTAATTGAAAATACAAACAAAATATTTAAACAAATTGAAAACATAAAATCTTATAAATTATTAGGGGTGCTCGCGGTTTGGCGGTTCGGTTGCGGCCAAAGGAATCTCAAGTCCGCCATCCGTCTGCCAAATTAGAGGATTAGAGAAAATTAATCCGCAACTGTCCGCTCATCATCACGCATCTGTCCAAAATGCGGCGAATTAGTTCGGTTTGGTCGATTTTGACGGATCGGTATATCCGCTGCTCACCCCTAATTGAGGGGGTCTCCGTGAATAGATTAATAGATTAATAGATGAGGGATAAAGTGATATTCATTAATAATTGAAGGGATTTGAGTGTAATTAACCCATCTTTTTTTATAGAAAAGTTATAATGCAATTATATTAAAATAAAAGTAAATAACATATGGAGAAAAAAATAAAATAAAAAACAATAGCAACAGCACCAACAATAACAACAACAAATTCAAAAAGAGCCAAAACAAAAAAACTTAACAACTACAAATAACCACCTGCAAAGACATCAAAAAGATAGTTACGATTATGAAAAAATCACCCATCATCTCATTGATATGATTTGAAAAAATAAGATCTCCTATATAAAGTTTAAACCCGTTGTCGCCGTCATTCGTACCGCTGCTACCCAACTCCGCTACTGCCGTCACTAAACTTTGATCATCGTTGAAAGTCAGAATTGAAGAAGAAGAGTAAAGAATAGAGAATTGTAAGTGTCAAAAATTTAAAAATTTATAAAAAAAAATTAGAGGAGAAACACTCACACTCTTCTTCTGAGACATAAAAAATCTAATCTACATAAAAACATTTTTAAAACTCACTAGAAATATGCTAAAAAATCACTAAAAAAAGGCCTAAAAAGAGAGGTTTCCAACCACCCGCTGCTCTGCTGGGTAGTTAAACCCAATTATTAAATGTAACATCTATTTGCCCTGTTGGTGTGACATTGACTATCTGAGAGAGTAATTAATCGGTCATGCCAACGAAAGGTCGGAAGCATTAAATAAAATGGCCTTCCAGTGACTAGGGGGACAAAAAATATTATGCACTCTATTTTGGATGTGTATCGTATGAATTTTTAATTACGACTTTTGTTGTTATTAGTTATTATTATGTTATTTATAATTAATTGTGATATTAGTTATGATATTATTTTAATTATAATTCAATAGCATTTTAGTTATTTTTTATTTGGTGTTTGACCGCGACTCTCATAAAATTAAGTTATGATATTTATGGTAATAAAACACACAAATATTATAACTTGCTTATCTAAGGGTGTGAAGAATAGCATTTATCACAGAGAAAAGTTAGGGATCGTGAAATTTTTTTCATGAAAATGATCATGAAAGATGTATGATCTTTAGATTACATTGATTAGTGTATGATGTATTATTCTAAGTATAATCCAAAGGTCACAAAACTTTCATAATTATTTTTATAAAAGGTTTTTCATAATACCTACCATTACTGTTTTCCAAATTCATATAAAGTTTTGTTGTTTGTCCATGTCTCATTGTATTCTTTATTTTGAAGACGTTTGAAATTGTGCACACATTTAAGCTAGGTCTGGCAAATGTTTAAAAGCTGCAGTAAAATAAAAAATAAAAAATTTAAAAAAATGAAAAATTGCCTAAATTTTTTTGTGTGCCAAACAGGACCTTAGTTTGATGCAAAGCTAATAATGCTGTTTTGTTGGAGGAATTTTTGTTATGACTGAACAATTGGTATGCAGAAGTAGATCTCACAAACAAACTGATGAGAATTTCATCAACTAGTCAGTCAAAGGAGAGGATATCAACACTGATGGCAATTACAATAAGATGTGCACTAGATTTAGAAGCATTATTTAGTGTTTCCAGATATGAATGAACCACAAAATTGGTCTTAATTAAAATCCTACTATTTTCAGGGCAACCACAAACTTTTAATGAGTATTTTCTTAATATGATCGGCCAAAAATTATTAGCCTAGTTTTGGGAGAGGAAACATATGGTTGATCTGATCTTCCCACTTATGTAGTAGCAGTAGAAAGAGATTTTAAAACCATACTCACACACTCTTGTTTCTTCATAATGAGACTCTAATTGCTTCTTATCCACCAAATCAGTGCATATGTTTTAAGTTGCAGTCATACACTCATACCCATGGACATAACAATAAAATAAAGATAGCAATAACAGCAATATATATATATTTGAAAAACAAGAATGAGATGAAGAATAACAAGGAACTCCACCACAAATTTCAGTCATCAACCACATCAAAAACCCGAAAAGCAGAGGGAAGGTTGCAGTTGAAGAACTGTGTCGTTTAATCACAGGGAGTTTAAGATTGGCCAGAGATCCTTTGTCTCCAAATCACCTGTCCATTTGTTCCAATAAAGTGTCAACTACAAGATTATGTGAAAATCTCAGTACATAATCCTGTGAGTGAGATTTCATATTGGGACAGAGAAATTTAGAGACAGAACATCCCGTGAGCGGGTGCCCTAAAAGTAAAACATAATTACAATGTTGGGTCATCACCAAACACAAAAAAGCCCCTCCTACACTAGAAAAATTGGATGGCAATTGAAGTAGAAAAATTCTACGTGCACACAATCCGATCGCAGAACCAGACACAACCATAACAACGAGAAAGTTATGTGCAGTTGTGTGATCGGATTTTGTGCACATAGAAGAACTGATTGAAATGGATTATTTGTCCATTTCAGGAACTTCAGGGCTCTCCATGATACTCTCTAGGGAAGGTTTCCACCCTTCAACTTTCCCTCTCCCTCTCTCTATCTCTTCCAACACATCTTCTAGCCTCTTATTCCCTCTTCTCTCATCCTTGAGCTGAAACACCAGCCACTCCAACTCCTCCTTTGTCAACACTATCTTAATCCTCACAGCACTTGTCTCAAGACCACCATCATCCTTGACAAACCCACCTCCATTTTCTTCATTTTCTTGCTTCTCATGCTCTCTCATCTCCACTTCTTGGCTATCTCTGCATGTTTCCATGAAATTTCCCATGATGTATGATCACCTTGTGATTTGGTGCTCCTTTGAACTACTTGTTGGATCCAGAGATCAAGTTAATAATTTACTAGTTGTTGGATAGAGATATTTATCAACTAGTGCATGTGAGGGTGGGTGTAAGGGTATTTATAGGTGTTAAATGCTCTCAAGGGTATTTGTAAGTGTTGAAATTTTTTGTGTGTTTTTTGTGAATTTTTTTTTGTTAGGGTTTCATGATGGCACACCCTTTTCAAAGAAGTGTATAATAGAATTTCCTATAAATACATAACCCTACTTATTTTTATACACGTGTTTCATATTTGTTACTAGACGGAATGTCTAGCAATACACTTTTGTTTACAAATCACAACAAATTTTATAATTATTTCTAAACCTGACCCATTTTTATACATCAAAAAAATAAAAATTTTAGTGTTATTAATATAAAATATATTTATATTTGATTTGTTGGATAGTCTTTTTTTTTTAAAATTTTTTTTTATTTGATGCCGGTTAGATATAACTATAGTATAAAATTGAAAGTTTTAAAAAATTTGAGGCTTTCGAAAATTTTGAAACCTAAAGCACTTGCTTTAGCTGCTTCATGCTTGGGCCGGCACTCTCCTTCACTTTTTTGGGCACACTTTGAAGAAGGACAATGTTAAATTCTATTGATTAATTTGTACCAGGCTGGCCCTGAGACTTTAACAAAATTTAAGCACTATTAATTAATTTTAATTCTCATAATATTTGTAAGTTAAAAAAATAAAGATACACTTAAATTAATATAAACTTACAATCTAAATTAATGAGTACTTATAAATTATGTAAGTTCAATTAGTAATTTTAATGTAAAAATATAAAAAGAGTAATATTTAAATGATATTCTACTATAATTAGTTTAGTTTTTATTTGGTATTATAATTATAAATTTTATTTAATTTTTTTTTAGATTGGGTATTTTTTGTTGTTGTATATTGATTTTTGTTGAATTATAAAGCAACAAGACAATATTTTTAAAAAATTTGTAATAATTTTTCATATCTTGATTTATGCAAGTAAATTCAATATATAATTTAGTGACTATATATAAGCATAATTAATGTGGATATTACTATTATATATATATATATATAAATACTTATCATCCTACCCATATATATATATATATATAATTAGAGAAATGTTTGGACCCCTTTTTTGGAGGGTTTCATGACTCCCAATTTGATCTTGGCCCTTGATATTTGTGTGGGATCCACTCTGTATGTATGGGTCTTACATTATGAGTGGTTAGGATGAGAGTAAGGGTTGTGGGGGTCATATATGTGTGGGGTCTCTATCACAATTGATATAATTATTTATAGTGGCCCAATGTCAAAGAGTTTTTCAACCAATTAACTCAGTTGGTCATTTCTATACGGTTTTAATTGAGAGATAATAGTGTCAATCATTGTCAAAAATAAAAATAAATTATTTATTCTCATCGTGGGGTAGAATTAGAGGTGTAAAAATGATCCGCAGCATGTGAAAAGCCCGAAATCCACTCACAACCCATGGTGGGCCGGGCCCAAGTCCAGTTTGGAACCCTAGACTTGGGCCTGAGCTATCATTTTGAAATCCAGCCCAGCCCATGAGCTCAACCCGTCTGGCTCGACCCATCGGCCCTCTCAAGGCCTACTCAAAACCCGGCCCGCCTAAGACCCAATGCCATTTTTAGTGAAAAAAATATAAAAAAATGTTTAGACCAGCCCAGGCTCGGTCCACGTCTGAGCCCAGGCCTGCCAACCAGGATGCCGAAGGCCCAAATACCCCATGCACTTGGGTCTGGGCCTAATTTTTTGGCCCGTTGGCCGACCCGGCCTGGCCCGAATTTTAGCAAGAGCCTGGACTCAAATGGGCCTGGCCAAATTTACACCCCCCTAAGTAGAAGATGCTAGACACACATAAACAGAACACAAAACTTGATAGTCTTTCGTCGTCGATTCTTTATCTCTTTTATGTGTGCATAGCGGTGCTACTAAAATTTGTTTCAAAATTTGCAATATAGTTTATAGTAATTATCTATTATGAATTAACTCTTTCTAATAAGGATCGATGAGATATGAAATAACAAATAAAAAAGATAAAACGAATTGAAAAAATCACACAATCACAAAAACATAATAATTTGTATTGCTCATTTCAAAATATGATTAAATTTACGATTGTTGTAATCTTCACTGTGATTAAAAAACAGTACAAATCTTAACAATACAAAAGACACCCCTTCATCGTTTTATAAACATATAATTAAGACAATACAAAAATAACAAAAAATTACTAAAATATTCAAAATTCGGGAGAGAACCCCCATTGTATCCAAGCTCAGTAAATCATACTTACCGAGTCCACAAAACCCAACATTATCTTTTTCTTCAAACATGAAACATAATTAGCTTGCTTGGTTGTGTTTTTTCAAAAATACTTTTCAAAAAATTCTACTTTCTTATTTTTCGTATTTTTTTGTTTTTACTAAATTTTTTTAATATTTTAAGCAATTTTTTTTTTTACTTTTTAGACATACCTAACATAAATATACCTAAAAAGTAAAAAAATTATGAAAAAAACCTTTTAAAAATTCACTAAATACCAAAAATATAAAAAAAAATGAGAATTCAGTATATTTTTTGTATTTTTATGTATTTATTAAATTTTTAAAATATTTTTTCACAAATTTTTTACTTTTTAAATACATCTAAGTAAGATGTATCTAAAAAGTAAAAAAAATATTTAAAATTTTAAAAATATTCACTAAAAACAAAAAAAAAAAACAAAAATCAAAAAATTAAATTTTTAAAAACTTAATTCAAAAAACTTAACAAAATCTTTTTTGATTGCCTTTAAACTCCATCAGTTGGCGCAAACACCTCATCAGTTGGCGCAAACACCTAAGTTATTAAAATAAAATAAAAATTAAAGTTAAAAATTTAAAAAAAAAAAAAAAAAAAAAACACTATTTCAAAAAAACAGTATTTCAGATCTGCAAACAGTCCAACATCTAACTACTAAGATTGTTTAAAGATCGCAAGCGTATTAGAAAACAAAAGTTTTACTTAAAATAGCGGATGAAAACTATGTGGGGACAACGCAATTTGTTTTCAAGTTCAATCAAGACAAGTATAGCATGGCCTAAACCATGACATCAATAGGCACGTCTGTCCTTGGTGGTTGATTTTGTCACCACGTACATAGAAAAATCAATTATATGCCCTCAAGCTCGAGTTATAGATTTTGTTTTAATTTTTTTTTTAATTATATCTCCTATCATATTTAGTTATGAATTTTTTTAAATTATGATTCTAAAAATTAAAATTATGACTAGTATTTCAGATGTGTTCATTTCTAAATGTAAAAAATAAATTATACGTTGAGTAAAACACAAGAGGTAATGTCTTTAAGTTCCAAAAAACTGTTGAAAATGGGTGTAGTTTATAATGAGGTTACTTACAAGAGTATTTTATGGCACCGTTTGGGAAGGGATTTTGTGAGTTTTTTTAGTTATTTTAGTCACAAAAGACAAAATAGGCTATTTTAGCCACAACAAACAAAACATCACATCCAACTCATAATCATTACACTTTTCTCTCACAAAAAAAGTCAAAAAAGTCAAAAAGCCAAAAAACCCTTTCCAAACCAAGCTTTTTAGCCCAGGCTAAAATAGTCAAAAAAACCAAAAAGCCAATCCACTTCTATGTATGGTTATGTGTTCCAAACACATTTCGACCCATTCATTTGAGTGTGTGATGTTTGTTTTGAGTTTTCAAATTATAATTTTACACATACTTTTGAAAACTCCTTTCCAAGCAAGAGAAATTTGGCTAATCCGGTCATCTTCTCGGACGTCCCCCCCGGACGTCCGGCCAGTTGATTGAAACAGTGTTCCCTTTTTTTCTTTTCTTGGACACTTGTTATTTTTATATTGTAAATAAAAAATATTTTCAAAATTTTTTAAAGGGATTTTTATTGATAAATCTCATTTATAAGTGTTTTAACCCAAAAAGTTTATGAATGAATTTTTTAACCCATTTAGTCCCATGTATGTATAGTTTTATTCTATAAAGTCATTTTTCTTGATTTACACTATTTTCTTGGACACTTATGCCCTTATATTTAATTTTGATACCCTTATAAATATTTTTTAACGGTTAGCAATTTTATGATGTGAACATTCATATTTTAAAATTCACATTGGTAGGAATGTAAAATTGGCTTGTGGGCGGCCCGAAACCCACCCGCGAGCCGAGGCGGGCCCGACCCGTTGACAATGTGAATATTCACATTGACATGTTAACATTCACATTAATAGGAGTGTAAAATTGGCCCACGTCCCGTGGTGGCGCGAAACCTACTCGCGGCCCGGGGCGGGCCCGGTCCGACCCGTTGACAATGTGAATATTCACATTGACATGCTAATATTCACATTAATAAGAGTATAAAATTGGCCCGCGGCCAAAAGCCCACCTGCCGCCCAGGGCGGGCCCCGCCCCACCCGTTGACAATGTGAATATTCACATTGACATGTTAACATTCACATTGATAGGAATGTAAAATTAGCCTGCGCCTCGTGGCTGCCCGAAACCCGTGGACGGCCCTGGGTGGGCCCGGCCTGACCTATTGACAATGTGAATATTCACATTGACATGTTAACATTCACATTGATAAGAGTATAAAATTGGCCAGCAGCCTAGGGCGGGTCCGACCCGGCTCGTTGACAATGTGAATATTCACATTGACATGTTAACATTCACATTGATAAGAGTGTAAAATTGGCCCGCAGCCTGACCGCAGCCCGAGACGGGCTTGGCCCGACGTGTGACAATGTGAATATTCACATTGACATGTTAACATTAACATTGATAGGAGTGTAAAATTTGCCCGTTGCCCAAAGCTTGCCCGAGGCCCGGGGTAGGCCCGGTCCGGCCCGTTGACAATGTGAATATTCACATTGACATGTTAAAATGCACATTGATAGGAAT